TGGACACGATAATAATGTATCCCCAGGTGGGCAAGATTGTATACCTCAGAACCTCCCAAAATCCCATAATAACTTTAGCCTTGTGATTGGATTGCCCTTTTCTAATGCGATGAAATCAAGCAAAAAAAAGGGTTTTTGATTTGTACCATCAACTAAGGGAATCAGATTTTTTTGCTGCATGTATTAGTTGAGATTTTTTGATGCAAGATGTAGCCCTAATCTTATTTGTAGAAAGATTATTACGGTTTAGACTTGGGCCTTCTACACCCGTTTTCACTTGAACTTGTGATGCATCAGCAGGTCACAATGAAACTTGGGTTGTCGAGGATCGTGCCATGTTTAAATTATGCCATTTAACGATTTGTTCAACTCAGTTATTAGTCTACTAGTTAAATTTGTGTCGCGTTCAATTTGTTCTCATGTGTGAACCCTTTTAAATTGATTCGTGTCATGTTTAGTTACATTTTATTCGACTTATTTTTTTCAAGAACCTAACTGTTTGACCTGTATACAATTCTAATTTTCAAAATTAAATTCAAATTTCATATCGAATGCACAGATACCCCTTATTTCTTCACCGATGAATTTAACGTTGTTTCCTAGGAAAAACATAAAAGCACAGTTGTATAAAGTTTGTGGATTTTGACTATGGTACTAAAAAAAAAAAATAGTATCGTACTTTTAAATTTTATTACTTTAATGAATTTTTTATAGTTTTTGTGATTATTGTATAATAATTTTTATTACCGGTGTGATAATTATTTTTATTATTTTTTTGATACTTTGGATCAAGAAAAAAGTGATTAATGGTGGTGTGGTACGTAAATTTGTATATTTTTTGTTGGGTAGCGTAGACTTCCGCATTTTCACCATGCCCAGAAAACCAAGTCGAGAAAGACATAATGAAAGGAATCATGAGGTCAAGCAAAATGACAGACTCAAATCAATTCAAGGCAGAAACAGGAAGCTTCTTTGCTTCATCGAAGGTCTTGCCATGGGTCGAAACCATCAGGAGTCGTCGTTTTCCTTGGTGGACAAAGACACACGGGGTAATTCAGTAATTCTACCTATAAAATAATAATAGTTTATTGAATTAAATTCATAATCGATCATAAGTTGTAATTTATAATGATTTATTTTGATATTTTGTGATCTATTATACAGTTCTAATTTATATTTTAAAAATTTTAAATTTTAATAGGATACTACCTTAATAATAGTCTTTTCCAAGACACAACACGGTTGACAGCTTTGTTTTTTGTTTTTTTGGGTAAAATGCCTAGAAATCAGCATAACGTGGTCTTTGGTCGACCACCTCTTCACATGCATCTTCGCAATCCCAACACTAAAAGAAGAGTCAGACAGAGACTTGTTTTGTTCTCCCATGAAAGACAAAGAATGCCTCTCCACAAAGACACAAAAGCAGGCAAATATAATACAAAAAATGTTAAAACTGACCATAATACTAAATCTGCAGTATAAATGAATGATGTAACAAAACCTAAATAATCAACAGGTATTTCTGTATTGTCATTTCTAGTTCATTTTGGGGCTAATTGACCCTAAAACAACCCATTATATATCTAGACATTAACCCGATTTGTTGCTTAGAAATGTGTCACATTTGTGTCAATGGAATAACCATTTAACCAAAAACCTCAATTCTAAGATTCATTTTTCTCTCGACCAAATCGACCACCCGTAAGCCACCAAAAATCTCTATGCTAACAAAACTGTGAAAAACATCTAATTTTGCAAAGATTTGTATAATATGTTATATAATACTAGTTAAACAAATTAATCGTATTAAAATCATCACTATTTTCTCCTGAGAGCATGGTTTAGCTTTGTTCTTAATGTTGTTTCATAGATGTCGAGTGCCGCTTTTTCCCTGTTCGACAATCTCCATTTGTTCTAAGTGGGGGTAAACTATAATTCTTATATTGGGTTGGTTGTTTAAAAGACTTTCTCTTTTTCTTTTGACATTTTGGATTGCATATCTATCCCTGATACTAATCCGGCCCGTTCGTTGTTCGTGTTAAGCAAATCATATCAATTATCAAATATATAGCAGAACTAATCAACTCTATCCTCCACATTGTGTCGTGTGAAAAATTGGTATCATTGCAATGTAATAGACCTGTTCTATAATGGTTGAAGACATAGATACGCAAAAAGAAGTTTTTGCTAGCATAGGCGTGGCTTGGGTTGGCGAGCCAAATAGTCACAGTGGAGGAGGAAAAGTTCCAACAACGGTCTTACTGTTCTCTTTACAACCAGCTTTTCCATCACCAGTACAATATTAACAAACTAACCAGCACAAAAAAAGTTCACAAGAAGACCAAGAACAAGCTTTGACTACATGACTATGACATGAACCATTCACCATGAAGGAGAAGTGGAAGGAGATCCTGATGAGGAGGAAGAAAGATCACCATTATTACTATTGGAATCACTACCAGACGTGCCAACACACCGACCATCTCTAAGAGAGATGGAACATGCCTCCACCGGTAGCTTCTTCATCGGAGTTAATGGAGGGGTGATTGGGAGTGAGGAGGGACTAGACGAGGGTGATACGTCTCTTGTATCATCGCCGGAAGAATCTTTGGTTTCTAAGCGAGATGGCGAGGTGTCCGGCGTTTCGAATGGTGTGTCCACTACCCTGCTTGGCTGGCCGGCTTGGACGTCGTAAATCGGATTGGATATGCACATGAAATGATGCTTAAGACCTGCTAAAACTCTATTTTCAGAAGTACTGGAATTAGTGCCTTGAAGCGGAACCTTTTGAACTGGTTTAGGTGAGGCTGCTGGTATGAAGGAAGGAGAGGGTGGCGAGGTAGATTGAAGCCCAACCCGAGAAATGGAATCTAGTGCACGAGATTTTTGCCACCATGAATTCTGGGATGGGTCAGATGTACACAGCCCAACCCGAGGGGTGAAATGTTGTTGAATTTGGGATTCATAGGCTTGAGGAAACTGAGAATTTTGCTTCTCCAAATCCAGCTTGTCATCGCCAGAAACTGCAGGGAAGAGGAAGCTTCTTGGGGCTCGAAGAACCCCTTGAGCATAAAAGCTACCCAGAGATGGAGGAGCTGATTGGTCAAGGGGTGGTGGGGGCTGAGAGATGGAATCACCGGCAGAGATGGTGGTGTTGGAAGTTGGCTTTCGAATTTGTCGCCGACGGAGTAAGAGAGAGCAGTAGAGCTCAGCTAATAGCACCAGGACAAGGGATAACACTATGGCCAGGCTCGCCACCATTATTAGTGTTGCTCCCATAATCACCTTAGTTGTGCCCTTCATCTCTCTCTCTGGGAATTTAGGAACGAAAATGGGACTGTTATAAATGGAAGATAGAAGCTTTTTTGGCGGGAAAGAGCCCTGCACCTGTTACAAGAAAGGAGAGAGAGAGGAAGGGAATCTTGTAAGGAATTTGGGACTAGGCTTTTGTTCTGATCAAGTGAAGGCTTTCTGAATGTAGGTCAATTTGGTCATTTTCACAAAAAATGGACTAGTTATCCTCGACTCTGTCACCAGAGTCACTCTTCAGAAACGGATAATAACACATTGACTAACAAGCCACCAAAAATTTTGTGGACATTGACAGACACAAGTCATAAAAAAGCAATGCTCCATTGCTCCCAAATGACGTGATACGATATCCATAATTCAATATTAATAGAATTCATTTATCTGATGATAGAGATAAGTCACGTCATTTGGCATAAAAAAATTAGTAAGAATATTTAGTAAACATATTATTTCTCGTTATAAAATGTGTTTGGAAACATTCAGTTTTAACACCAATGTACTCGATATAAAACACGAACTTGGTCAGATAAGTTGGTTAGGAGTGTACTGTGCAAAACTTTTTTTATTTTTGGTCGGTCACTATTATAGGAGAGACAATCACGACTTTAAAGTCCAACAAAAAAGACAATGACCATTAGGCCAAACGCTAACCTCCACCGAGCAAAACTGGAGGACTTGAGTTTCGACTGTTTCTTGGGACCTCCCAAGAATGTCTTGTATTGGTAACTACTCAATTCATTTAAGACGGCATGTACCCTAAAGGATTAGTCAGCTACTCTAAAAAGAGTAGATACCTATTAGTACAAAAAAACAAAAAGAAAACATCAAGGATTGTATTGAAATGGTGTGTCATCATTCTCTGTAGTAAGGTGATAAAATAGCAGCAATCATCATCTCAAAATGGACTATATTGAAACGGATGTTTATCATTAGCAGTGGAAAATAAAACAGTAGCAATCTCACACTAAACTTTTTCTGTTTCCTACTTTTACAACCGAGTACTTCACAAAAATGCAATCAAACCAAGTATCTAGTACTTAAGGATGCAACAAATGGAAAACAGAAAAGGATCAAAGCTAGCACCCCACAGCTGCCAGGCAAAACGCATCTCATTTTATGGACTAGAGGAAACAATGTAGGGCTATACTCTGAATAATGGGGAACTGGAAGGTTCATGCAATTTGAAAGCCAAACTATACCATAGGAATTCAATCATCTGTAATTAGAGGATAACCCTTCCTGGGAGTAAAAGGTTCTTGCAGACTGCACAAGAACCACCATGCAAATTGAAGCGAGGAAATAGGATACGGTCATGCAAATAAGAGAGGAAGCAACTTCTAAAGTTTCAGCGCTCTTACCCTTTACTGCCCTCTCAGGGCTGCAAAACGGGCAGCCAAATCATCATAATCTGGTAACTTGGGATGCACATGTCGTGCCTGGTTATCGGGTGGAAAGAGCTGACACGAGTAAAAACCTTCGTGGCCTCTGATGGAACAGTTTGCTCACGGGGAAGAGAAACGGATCTGGTGGGAGTAGGAACCATTTCGGACTTCACAGCATGCCCATCCCTGCTTTGATTGTAGTAGTCATCACCAGCATCAGGAGCTATCTTATGTGAAGGATGAGCTTGTGATCTTTTTCTCAACTTTCCCTCGCCATAGGTTGATGGTTTTTTACTGTAATGTAATAACAGTTTATCTATCATCCTTTCCTCGTCATCTTTCTGATAATGCTCATCATTGAACAAGATCTGCAGGTCCTTTCTTGAATGCTCTCTTCTCCTGCTACTTGAACTTCTCTTTGGAAACCCACCATCTTCATAACTGCAGGCATCATCATGGCCAGATGAGAACTTTGAGTGTTTCCTCCTAATGGATCTTGGTTTTGGCAAGGGTATATCATCCTGGTAATGATGATCTTTCTCATGACCATGACTCTTTACTCTAGCAGGTCGACGACCTTGCCACTCCTGGCCAGAATGATCTACTTTACGGTCTGAACTATCAACTGCCTTCCCCCTATCATGGGGTGAAGTATCCATGGAAAATCCATCACCTTCGGAACCCGCATTCTTAGAAACTCTGCCGGATTCATGTTTGCCATTTTTTGGCTTAATATATGGTGGAGGGATTACATTATCTTTTGATTTAACGTAAGGCGGAGGAAGGGCACCACTGTAGTACGATTTTGACTTATCTGCTTCTTCCTCCTGCAGTTTTCTTGTCAAGTTAACTACATTTTGGTGACTGGCATAGTCATTAGACGCATAGGAGGCATCTCCATCATCACTCCTTACAGATTGTCCTACACAAATACCTCCAACTTCCGATTTTCCATGAGAGAAATGATCCTGGCTTTCTGCTTTAGAGACAATATTAACCCTATCACTGTGTGGAAGGTATCCACTATTAATGGATTTCAACTTTTTACCATGAGATGTATTGCTTGATCTAACAGACTTTATGGCTCTAACATCCTTCTCATTCAATGGCCCTTGCTTATCAGCAGTGAATTCGTGCCTTCCTCGGTGTGAAAGGTTATTGATGTCTCCTTTCAGAATAGTTCCTCCCTTACTGGAAACCAGGTTGTGTCCATTACTGGGGAACTCCCTTCTTCCAAAGAGCTGAAGGTCCAATTCATCTCTTCTCAAGACATTGCCCTCCGTTCCAGTACACAATCCATGACCATTATCTGGAAGCTTACTGTTCTCTTTGGATGAAACATCCTTTTTATCAGCTTTTGGCAATTTGTTTCGATCCTCAGTGACATGGAAAGACCCATATTTCTTAGGTTGGTCCTGTAAATCAGTCCCATAATATGCGGAATACTTTAGTCTTGATGAGATTTTAAACAGTATGCTCTGATGAAGTTAATTTCTGCAGAATTACTCGGATAGAATAGTATACAGAAGATACTTTGAGGGTAGATCTGATAAATTCCTTGAATTATGAAGATATAATTTGCATTATTTTTCTCCGTTATCAAACTCAAAAAAACAAAGTGCATACCTGGGCTAATGCAGGGGGAGCAGCCATCCTCTTTTCAAAATCTCTCGAGTCCCATTTTATTAAGAATTCTGCTGCTATGTCTTGCAGTAGCTTGAGTTTCTTCTCCATTGTGGGAGGCTTCATGGCTATCCTCTCAACGAACTACAAATAAACAATTAAGCTGGCTATACACATAAGCAGCCCTATGTAGTTACTTATGCCATAAGTAGAATGGATAAGTGAAGCACTACCTTTTGATTAGCAAAGTATTCAAACGAATTTCCATATCTCTCTTGAAATAGATCCCTGAGGTCACGCAATTCAGGCAAATCAGAAAATCTTGCAGCTGCAAACATCAGGGATGCCACAACCTCCCTAAATTCTTCAGGACATTCACTGGAAAAGAAAAGCATGGAGAGGTAATGTCAATATCATACTCAAATTGTTTGAATCTGAAGCCTGAGAAATATCACTCGATGGATTGATGGCAATTCAGAACGAACTCCTCTAAGTTGAGATAAGCATAGTTCCTGGTGCAGGATTATATCAAGTGCCGACATTTATCCCCCCCTAATGCCACCTTACATCTCATTTATCCACTCTGAACTTTTATCTCCAAATACCATTTGGAGTTATGAAAGGGAATCTTTATAACTCATTGTTCCAAATCAAAATGTGTTCTGAACTTTTAAAAATTGAAATGAAACTAGGTCTGGGAGTCTAAAATCTAATCCAAGTCAACGAAGTATGACAGCTTGATCATACATTGTTGATGGAAAAGACTCCAAACGAACCTCTGGTCCAAGTTACAGTTTCAAACACCTCAACAAAATGGATGTAAGCAAAAGGATGGCAAAAAGATGGCTGGTCAAAAAGGATCTAAGAACTGAGGCTCTCACTCATCAGATCAGACCGCAAATGTCAAATTCATGGGGATAAAGAGAATTCCAATCTTCACTGCCAAAAATGATATAGATTAACGAATTCTTATTGTATTGATCAATCTATTTTACTGGACTTTTTGCCAGAACAACCTGACCAACTGAAATGATAAAGTGGCTGGCTTATAACTGTCCTGAACATGATATGTCATTCTTAAAGAGTTTTACTTGGTACATCAATGTCTACCGTTGGCATGTCACATTCGTGAATAAAAAGTGTGCGCAGCGAGTTTATATAACATTTTTCTAAATTAAAATTCAGACAGCATCAACCAGTTGCTAGGTAACAATGCAATATTATCTGTTCATACCTTTGTTTTTGCATGCTTGAGAGCTGCTTCACTATGTATTCACAAGAGTGATCAATATAATCATAACAAGACAAGAGGCTCAATCCAGCAAGAAATTCTTCCGCCTATTTCATATCCTCGCATAAAAGAATACTTTTGTAAGGGAATACTAAAGTATGGAATAAATATATGTTATAGATAACCAAGGCCGGCCCAACAACACATTTTAAAAAGCTTGGGTTTTAAGCCCCATTTCAAAGGAAGGCCGCAAAATTTTAAATACCATAAATAACCTATGTAAAAAATGTCTTATAAAAATATAAGTCCAATCAATCATTTAGGCCCATAGCCCAATCCAATATTAAATATTTTTAAAAAATTAACAGTAAAAAAAAAATTGAACTTAAAGGTCACATCAAATTAAAAAAAATCAGAAACTCAAAAGTGAAATCATTACCTTAACTTTTAACACTCTCTCTCTCTCGGTAAACCAATTCAAAAGCAATTCTTTTTTTCTTTCTCCCTCTCATTTAAACTAAAACAAAAAACTCTTCTTCTTCTTCTTCTTCTCTCTCTCTCTCTTTTTTTCTCACACACACAGAGTGCTCTGAACTCACAGACTCATAGTAATGTGAGATGGTGACTCGATAGCTCGGTAAAGGTGACTCGGTCTCCATCCTCTATCGACTTGAGTTTTCATTGTAACATAAGGGACATGGTTCAGAATTAAAAGCCAACATTTGAAATCATTCAAAGTTCTATTATTTCATAATTTTAAATTTTTTTGTTATATATTTTAACTATACTATATATTGAGTTTGTTTGGTTGTTATATATTTATAATATATTAATAATATGGCGCCTAGAAAACAACCAAGTGGATATGAAAAATTAAAAAAATTAAAAAATAGACCAACTAATAGTATCTCAAAAAAGATCTCTTGATAAATTTGTTACTAGTAACAAAAATAATGTAACAAAAAATTTAGATGAAAATTTTGAAAATAAATAAGTAGATAATGAATTATAAGAGAATAAAATAAAAAATATTGAAATAGAAAATATTGAAATAGAAGATAATGAAATAAAAAATATTGAAATAAAAAATAATAAAATAAAGGATAATAAAATAGAAAATATTTTATGGCTTAGATATATTTTTAGAACTAAATGCTTTAAAAGAAATTTTACAAACGAAAGAAAATACTCCAATTGAGATACTAAATTATATAAAAAAGTTAGATTCTTTTCCATATACATGCATTGATTATAGAATATTATTAACAATTCGTGTAACAGTTACTTCTGCGGAATGAAGTTTTTCAAAATTATAATTAATAAAATCTTATTTAAGATCGATTATGTCACAAGAAAGATTAATTGAATTAGCAATATTATCAATTGAAAAAGATATAGTAGCAAAACTTGAATATAAAAACTTAATTAATACTTTTGCAACTCAAAAAAGCAAGAAAAATTAATTTTAAATAAAAAATATTAATACTCAACGTTGAAGACCTCATTTAGAAGTATCGTTTTAGGCTCCAAATTATCTTAAGCCACCGCCATAGATAACCACTACATATTAGTGCAGATGTCTAGGATCAACCAGGAGGAGGATATATTATTGGTTAAAATATGTTCCCATCAATATCAATGTTAGTCAGCCGATCAATATTTCAAGTACATTATAAGGCTTCAAACAAGGATGAGAACCACAACATTTAATATGTTCTATGTTCTCTGTTCTATGTTCTGGGTTTTAGAAATATTAACACATTGTCAGTACAAAAATAAACAGTGAGCCTTAAGTTTGGATAATGAGAAATTCATCTAAATGGTGCCTATACTGAATCCGTTTGCATCTTTCGAATTAAATGAATGCCATTTTCTGTGATATAACATTCTTTCAATAAAAAAAACCAAAGCTTCAATTTTTTTTTGTTAAGTAACTATCCTTAAAACATTAAAAATTAAGGTAAATAATCATGTAAACGACACTCAAGTGAAATTTAGGTTTTCTGGTGCTAATTCCCCAGTTAACAATTATTCTATGATAGACGCTCCAACCCTATAATATTTATTTTTTTTTCTTTCCCACAATTCTTATCAACCAAACAAGTCCTAAACCACAGATTCAAACTTAAAAATAGCCGGACCAAAAATCTGAAAAGAAAAAAGTGCAATTACGAAATCCAAATACAAAACCAAAAATAATTAATTACCCTCCCATAGGCATTGATATCGAGGCCATTATAGAGCAATTTCGCAAGATCTTCCTTCAAAATTCTCTGCTTCGCTTCCGCTCTCCTCCTTAAAGCTTCAATTCGCGTTCTCGTAGGCTTAATCAGCGATTTACTTCATCACAACAAAAAAAAAATGTCCATTAATGCAAAACGGATATACACGCACAGATATTTACATAGAGAGATTGGATTTGGGTTTTTTTCGAACTGACCATTTGGAGCAAAAGTTTCGCCCTAGTAATCCGTCCAGCATCTTTGATTTTCGTTTTCCTTCAACCGAGAGAGTAAGATTAGCTCAAGTGTGTGCAAATTATGCACGGCTTACATACGCCATTAACACAAGCTGGAAAATTGAAATGTGGTTAATGGAGAAGAAGCAGCAGCAGGTATTCCAACTGTGTATAGTGTTGTGTGTGAGGTAGAAATCCACTATAAAAAGAGTCGTCTTGTAATTGACTTGCGTCAAACGCATTTCAAATTATAGTCTGATCCTTTCGTTTATTTACCATCACCTCCCCTATAGTTTGTCTATATATACTCTTCAAACTATGACCTTTGTATTAATTAAATTCTTCATTTTTTTTTGTACCAATTAAACTCTTTTGTCGGCCTCCATTAGAGCGTGTCACTCCTCGGATACAAAAAGATAAAATGACTCAATTGTCACAATTAAAGAGTCGAGGAGTTCAATTTATACAAAAAATATATAAAAACCTAATGTACACAAGAGTCATAGATCGAGGACCAACCATTTGTGTTTGCACGCTTTGCCACTTTTGAGTAGAAAACCTAACAGAGGCAGATAAAATGACTTAATTGATACAAAAAAATTCAAAAACTTAATTAACACAATAATTATAGTTTAAGAGCTATATGTATAATTTACTCAATTAATGATCCACTTAAGTTTTTTGGATAGATTTTAAATCTCCACTTTCTGGTATGTGGATATTAAGCAACTCTATCAAGTTATAATTCAATTTATTTGGATCATACTTTTTATACTATAATTTTCATACCATAGGAAAAAAAACCTATGTTAATATGATTTACGAATTACAAGAAATCTATATAATAAAACAGAATTAAAAGCATAATGACAACACAAATTGTTTATATTTGACTGTGAATTTTTATAAGTTACACTTTATCATAATAAAATTTTCTATTTACATTTTAATTACAAGAAATTTGTCTGCTTATATTTTAATCACAATACAATTTGTATTTTATCATGCACTTTTATTAATTACAACTGGGTACCCTACTGCCATTATAAATCAAAAACGACAAGTATATGAACTTTAAAGTTGCGAAGTTGCGGCACATTTTGGGAAGGTTGGTGGGTCCATGGCTTGGATGAGGGATTGTGGTTCAAGGAGTGGGACAGCGGAGGGCCCAGATAAGTTAGGAGTTGGGGCTACCATGACATTGAAGTATTATTCTTGGCCGTTGGTTGTAGGACATTATATCATGATTGCAAATGACCTTTTTGGCCCTCACAAGCTTTGTGTCAATAAATCCGTTTGAATGATTTCTTTTCCTCATTTCTTAACACCCTTTTTCTTTCTTGGGATTTTCTAGTTTTGAATCGTTCTCGTTCTCGTTCTCGTTCTTTCTCCTAGTTTTGAATCGTTCTTATCCTTGTTTGTTTACCTTCTCCTAGTTTAGGGGTTTATGGTAAAGTAAAAGTCTAGAAAGTGGTTTATGGTACAATGATCACGAGGTTTAATTTTTTAATTATAACTCCGAACAAAATTAACTATTCTCTTTTAAATAATTACCCTTTAACCATTCCATATAACAAAGTAGAGTCTCTTTATTTACTTATTTATTAACGGTTACATTATGTGATAATGTTAACGTGATGTAACCGTTGTTATAATAAATAGAGTAATAAAATAGTATATATAAGGTCATCAAAAGGCCCATGACCTTGGGCTGGAAAAACTAGCCATTAATCCATTGGACTAATTGATAGTTTAGTCTGTACTAATCATGTTGGATTCTACCCTCTTATATCGATCAATCAACTTGAAGATTACTTCGGTATAACTGTTAACAATTCTTGAAATCATTCTTAGACTTCACTCAATCCAACTTGATATACTTTCCCTAAAAAGACTAACCCAATCCAACTCATTGCTAGATATACTTCCCCAAAATGACTACCATCTACGGGCTACAACCAATACTAGACCTTTGCTTGTCTAACTAGGTAAAATGAACTCATTTAGTTTCAAGAAACGGGTGAACCTACCTGTTTCACTTAGATATACTTGTGTTGATTATATAACTGTGTATAGGGTAGCGTGAAGATGAAGAAGAAAAAGAAACTATATGTGTTGATTATATAACTGTGTATAATGTAGCGTGGGAGGTAAAACTCCACCATAAAAGAGCCGTCGTTCATTGCTTATTTAACATAAATACTGGAGTATTATAGGTTCGTGGAGTGGGACAGTGGAGGGTGGAGATAAGTTAGCAGTTGGGATTATCATGACATTGGACTATTATGCTTGGCAATTGGCTGTAGGGCATTATATCACGATTGCAAATGACCCTCACAAGCTTTGTGTCAATATAGCTTTGAATGATTTCTTATTCTCTTTTTTCACCATCCCTTTTTCTTTCTTTGTTGGGATTTTCCAGTTTTGAATCCTTCTTATCCTTGTTCCTTATTCTTCTCTTAGTTTGAGGGCTTATGGTAAAGAAAGGCGTCTGAAACTATTATTATAAAGAGCAATCGTCCAATTATAACTCGATAAGTGAGGGTTGAAATGGACCATACTCTTTCGGGTAAAATAATAACTATTCCATGGAAAAAAGTGGAGTCCACTTATTTATTTACTAGCAATAACTCCTGTCTATAGACACAATGTAATATAAAAAAATCGATTATGAATTGTGTGATTTAAATATTTTAAAAAACAATTTATTTTTTCTTCTTTTTGTTTAATAACATGATTAACCCACTATTTTTTCAAAACAAAAAAATTAGCAAAATTTCAACTAAAAGCGTAACTCCTATAAAATATCAACTTATTCACAATTCATAAATTTCATGGCATACTCTAAATTGACAGTAATTGATGAAAGTCTAATAATTTTTAGAAAAAACACTCTATTGAAAGAAAACATCCCACACAAACTATAAAGCGACTATCACAATAATATAACAATAAATATAGAAATAACATGACATTCAATGCTAACGTGAACCTAAAAGTAAGTTTACTGTTAATAGAGCTGTGATGGCAGTTGAAGAATTGCATAGCAGTAGTGGAAAACAGGTACAGTAAAGTACTCTAAAATGTGTATAACTTAACTGGATGCCTCCTCCCATGGAGTGGGTGAAGATTAATTTTAATGGAGCATATCAAGCAAAGGCTAAGGAAGGAGCTTATAGAATTGTGGTGTGAAATCATGAGGGCTCATGGATCACTGGGGAAAGCACAAACAGTTGGGGTATTCGTCTGCTATAGTCACAGAAGCATATGCAGTAAGAAAAGCCTCCAGAATGGCACTAGAGGATGGGTACCAAGCGGTAATAATTGAGTCTGATGCTAAGTACCTTATGGACTCATTGAGTAAGGGCCTTGAAGATCCTATTAGGGAGATAGCATCATCTATCCAGAAGGATATTTGGCAGTACCTCCAGCAAATACCTTTGGTCCAGCTGCAATTCGTGAGGAGATCACAAAATATGGCAGCACATACTCTAGCAACTCAAGCTAGAAGAGGATTTTCCCTCTCTCAAGAGTTAGTTAATCCCACTGATTTTCTTATGAATGTACTTAGGAAGGAGGAAAGGAATGGTATAGGTTGACATATATATTCTGTTACAGCAAGTTGGAGTATTAATATAGAAGTTATTTTCATGACCAAAAAAAAAAAAATGCTAAGGTGATATCAGAGTTACAATAAATATTTACACCGTAAGGTTCGCAGAATGGCCCATGGCCTTGGGCTGGGAAAAGTGAGCCAGTTAGTCCATGGGGCTAATGGATGGTGCAGTCCGCAACAACCGTGTAAGATTCTACCATCTGATCTGGATCGATCAACTAACTTTGAATCAATAAATGAGACTGATGGTACTAAGCAATCAAATTCACTTTGTATGTGATATGTAATGGCTCTAGGATTGGATAGACAGACAAACTGCTTGCAATGGAGTTCAATATCAAGAATAAATAGACCCCAAGATAATAAAAATTAGATCAGACTTCAAATTTATTCCCCAATTGGTATAATTCAGTATAATGACACAAACATCACCATGCAAGTGTCTGATAACATACCAATTTGACAGAAAATAAGCAAGAACTATATCAGCAGTCAGGAATGTAGATCAAAAGAACCGCTTCACCATGGAATATGTGAAACCAAAAATAGTGAAAATCAAAACTACCTATCCGTGGGTGAGTCCGGCATTTGCAGGGTCTAGAGTTAAATGAACGCAAGAATGACTATTTCCAGAAATCGACCCCGTGGCCCAAATTTTACCTCTACTTCAAGCCTCACCCTTGAATGTATCTACCAAAAACATTTCAACAAGTTGATGACGAAATGGAACAGATAGTTCTCTGGATGGAGCAAAGCGTCTTCAACCAATGTCTCTAAGATGGTGTTTTGAGGAAGAAGATCACTGTAGTGCAGTATGGTTGCTATAGAAACTGCTGGTTCATCCACAAAAGATGACAGAAACCTCACCAGTGACCGGAACATCAAAGCTGTGAGAGACTGCCACAGAAATAAAGCAGAAAATCACTGTTAAATGCATAAGAATTAAGAACCCAACTAATTGATTAGATAAAATAATTGTAACCCATTTGAAATTATATTGTTATATGCGAGATTGATCAAACATACCATGGTTTGGGTGAGCCGGACACGAAGAAAAGATGGAGATGATTTACTGTGTGTGTGTGTGAGAGAGAGAGAGAGAGAGAGGGCCCAAACTTTGCAACAACCAATTTTCCAGCAGACGTTCAAACCTACCGTTCCATGCACGAGTCTGTGGCAGAGCTAAAGCCATATACAGTATTACAAAGGAAGGGTGTTGATAACAGGAGAAAAGATTGAATATTGCTCAGACCACGGAGAAAAAGTTGAACATTACAGCAGCCACCTACTGATTCTAAGGCTGACCGAAACTTCAATTTCAAGCACAAAGAAATTTTTTCTTGAATAAAACTATGCGGCCAAACTTATTTACTAAATTTTGTATTCCAAATAAAATGTTAAAATCTCATGTATTAAATATGAAAAATGTTATTTACACTTTATTTGAGGATCTTATTTAAAGACCTAATGATCTAATAAAACTCCTTGTCTTGTGAAGGCTTTACCTTCTTGAGGTCAAAAGTTTAAATTCCCCTCCTCCCCAGGAAAAAAAATTAATGAGACTTCAATACAACCATTGAATTAGTGGTGAGTTATAATGTTAAATGGAACTCATAAGTAATCCATTGTGAGTTCTAATGTTAAATAGAACTTATAACCAATCCAATAATTGTGCATCATTGAGTCCTTGCCGAAAGCCAAAAATCCAACTATTCCTGCTGACTTTCTTGTCCCAAGCAACAAAATGGTTGCATTTCTTGACGACTTTGCAATTGCAACACATTTTCTGATCAATTTACATAAGAGCAATGCCACTTTGATATAATTTATTGATTTAGTTTACTGATCTAATCATTCAAAATTATTAGATTGACATTAGGTCCCATTTTTTAGGGTGAAGCGGTAATTACCCACAAGCCATGTACATCTGTTAAACCCGAACTTTATGTGGTCAAACAATTCAAACTTTTGACTATTGAATTTATAGTTCGCCTATTGAATTTATAGTTCCTCCCAAGTTCAATCACTGGATTGACTTTAACCTTTCTTCATTTAATTTCGTAAGAACTTTGAAACAGATTTTCGAGGAAGTATTGTGTTATATCAGTTGTTGGAATGACAGGTGTTGGTAAAACTACGCTTTGCTAAGAAAGTTTATAATTCCGAGCAAGACAAATATCAGTGCCGTGCCGGGGTTTATGTTTCTCAGAAGCCAAGAGTGAAAAATCTTTTGAAAGACATAACAAGACAAGTCGGAGTAGAGGAGAAGAACTGGGAGAACAATGCAGAGATAGAGGCCAACCTATTTGGGTTCCTTAGACAAAACAAGTACCTGATTGTTATTGATGACATATGGGATAATAAAACTTGGAATGAATTGAGGAATAGCATACCGGGTAATTGTACAAATGGTAGTGCATTAATCATTACTTCTCGCCATAAAGAAGTTGACATCTATGCAGGTGGAGTTGATGGCCTGCCACTCAAAATCATCACAATGGCTGGTCTCCTATCAACAAAAGAGAGGATAGAACATGCATGGAAATGTGTACTGAGGGGGGTGGATCAACTAGAATGCCGAAATTTAGATACCTTGACTTTGAGTTATAGTGATCTACCATCAAAACTAAAACCTTGCTTTCTCTACTTTGGCCTATGAAGTCCAGCAAGTGAACTGATAAACATATGGGTAGCCAAGGGCTTCATACAAGCCCAAGAAAACGATACCCTTAAAGATGTAGCAGAGGATTACCTAACTGAGCTAATTGGTAGGTACTTGGTTCAAATTGATAAAAGAAGATTTGATGGAAGAATTAGAAGCTGCCGCATCCACAATGTTCTTCTCAGCCTTTGTGTTTCAACTGCCAAGAAAAACAACTTTTTCAGTACTAGTCAAGGTGATGATTCTGTTTTAGACACCAGAGTTTGTGGAGTTGCCATTCAGCGTGGTAGTATCTGTGAGTACATTTCTCAAAACCAGCAACTCAAGCTCTGTGCTCTGCTATGCTTCAACAGAGAAAAAGAGAACTTGGAAAGGCCGCACTTGGAACATATTGATAAGGGGTTTGAATTTCTTCGGGTGCTCCGCTTGAGAGATTGGTGTTTCCACAGTTTTCCAGATGCAATAGGCAATCTCATCCATTTGAGGTACCTGCAGTTGAAGGCATCAAGCCTAAGAAGCCTTCTGTCCACCATCAGGTATCTGAGAATCCTACAGGCCTTGGATGTCAAGGAATGTGAGAATCTCAACGTACCTACAGCTATTTGGAATATGCAACAACTAAGACACATTCTCTAATCTCGCACAGCCATTTTTCAACATCCACTAATATCTAGGCACATCATGGATAGGTCACAACATGTTGACGAAGTATCTCTACCAAATCTCCAAAGCTTGAATGTTTACTCATGTTTACCAATCTAAGAAAATTGGCTATATGTTGTTGTATGAAGCAATTCGACAAGGTGCTAACAGTTGCGATGCCCATATCAATGAAGATGAAGAAATTGCAATCGGAAGTGTGGGACGATGGTCCCTATGATGCAAACCATAGATTCGTGGATTCCCCCAGAATCCCAAAATCCAGTATATCTGCCAATTCGAGTTTTCCAACACCAGCAAGTTCACCTCTAAATTTTTCTGGCTATCAAAATCTTCTTAACATTTATCTAGAAGGTCCACTTGTGGATCTTCCAGAATACTACCAGCTTTACCAAGCTTACTTTGGTAAGAAGCCAATTACAGCAAGTCCCGATGGAGAAGCTAGGAAAGCTGCCAAACCTACGGAAGCTTCAATTTCTCTGGAGTTCTTACAAGGGAAAAATTATGGTTGTCACAGGTGATGGTAGCTTTCCCAGACTAGAAACCTTCCTAATTGGGCCATTTCCTTGGTTTGAAGCATTGAAAGTGGAAGGAGGAGTAATGCCGAAACTTAGATGTGTAAGAATAAAAAGTATCATTAAGTTATAGATACATTCTAACAGCTTGAGAAATATATTTCGTGAGTTCAACAATTACCTCATGAGTGAGTCAGAGGATGACACCATTTCCCAGCCAACCCAACCTTCCCCCAAAAAACCCCGGGCATATACCCTCACTTCATCTCCTGGAAAACTCACATTCTGGCGGGCTTAAACTCAACATAGGTTCTACTGTTAAGTCTGGAAAGATACCAAATACTGCAGCAATAGGACTGCTCAGAAATGAAGATGGAATGTGGATCACAGGATTTATTGGAAATTTGGGAACATGCCCAATACTGACAACAGAGCTATGGCCTATCAGGACAGGTTTAACCATGGCTTGGGAAATGAGGCCACACAATATCATTATGGAAGCAGATTCAGAAGCTGCAATTCAGTGTATCAGGTCAACCAATTCAGACCCTCATCCTGCTGAATCAATCATCAATGACTGCTGAAAGCTGCTTGCAAATCCATGGGGATGTGAACTGCAGCACATTTCCAGAGAAAGAAATAGATGTGCAGATTTTTTTGGCAAACGAAGGCCACCACCAAACTGAGAGAACACTGCTGCTTGAAGAACCCCCATTGGGGATGTTCGTTTTGTTACAGGAGGACTTTTGGAGTGTTAGTCTCGATATCTAGGCCTCTGGGTCCTCCTACAACCTGTGTACCAAATCATCATAAAAATGCCTCGAGCATTAATTTAGGATTCAGCAAAAGCATCCTCAAGATACACCCATGTAGTCTCTCTTTGCACAGATTTTGGAAGTTTAATTCTCTCTTTTTAAGAATAAGATATTTTGGGGGCTTCCTTATATTTATATCTACCCATATATATAGGTATACTACAACTCTATATTACTACTAAACGTCAGTAGGGAAGAAAAACTTTTGAACCTAATTTAACCTTTATAAAATCGTATAGACAATATTGTCAAGATCTGATCTGTTTGGTTTTGCTTCTTTGTTTACTTCTCTAATTAATTTTATTTTTTCATCTTCCCATCGTGAAGTTATGTCTGTCACTTTCTCAAAACTGTTTTACTTTTGAGAAGTCCATTTACAAGACTACAACTCATTGTCTCCCACAAAAGCACTTCTCTCTTCCATCCTAAGCTCATCATTTTGTTTGTCCTCCAATCTGCCATCGATCTTCTCTGTTAATAAATACTGCATGCACGTGTGTGATCTTATAGTAGTGACTAATAAGATTGTCCTATTTTTCCTTTAAATGGATTGATTGGGATTTCTCTCTGTTTCTACAGGTTTATAAGCATGTACAGACGGAAATCAAGAACTACATGTCCTTGAAGCACCCCCAATATAATCTGATTCAAGAAGGTAATATATTAATAAATTTGGTCCTGTTTAAATATTGCTTTCCTCTCTACATTTTGGTACGTGTATAAAAGTTTGATGAACACTTTCCTTTTTATTTATGGTAAATTCCTCACTATTCCCAAAATTTAAATCATTTTTGGTGACAATGAGTACTTTATAGCCAGGTCCTTATAGAGTTCTTGGGAGAATAATATATAAGCAATCTTTAAGTTTTTATTTGTCTCCAGATACCCCTGGCAGGATATTCACAGGCCGTCTGCCTTTAGAACAATAAGGTTGTTGTTGAGCTACTAAAAAGGGTTGCAGAATTTGCTTCCCAGTTTGCAATGCCACGCTTTGACAATTGAACATGGAAAAGAAAAGTAACTTGTCACGTATCTACGATGTTGATGGTGTAAATTGGAGTGGATGAGCAGAGGGAATGGATTACACTTGGCAACTGGGATCTGAGCTACAAGGCTCATGAGGTTCGTGTTTAGGATGGGGTGATTTGCACAATAAAAATATAGTGGTTCACCAGCTCGGAAGCTCGACTAGTCCACTCTTCAATGGAGGCTCTTGCTCCTTTTTCCTTTTCTTCTTATTCAGAAAGTTTACAGGATGGAGTAAATGTTACTAAGGTGTCCTCTTGCCTTGGAGGAGTTACATAATATTTATAGGGTTGTTCCTAATTCTATGGGATCTGTGCCGAGATCCTTGCTATTCCCCCGATGAACTCTCCTTGATCTTAGGAGAGGATCTCGGCTATTTAAGGATTTTGTGCCTTAAACATGGCTCTTTGGCACCTATAAGATTCCCATTGTTATCCAGCAGCTCCTTTATCCTTTCCATTGCTGGCATGCCTAGGGAGGAGCTCTAGTTCTGATCCTTTGAGCTCTGCGCATCTTTCCTGACCTCTTGGTCTGACCTGCTTGTCTGACCTTCGCGTCTGGGCTCATACTTGGAATTGTTCTGAGTATCTTCAGATGTAATGGCACCATGATCTTGCTTTTGGGACTTCTTGATACTTGAACTGGTAACAATCCAATATCCTTCCCAACTACTGTATTTGCTTTGAGTTCTGATTTTTAGCAAGGGTTACTGCTAATCTCCTATTGGTTTCACCATGCCGAAGTTTCAGTGATTGTACCCCTTACATCTCTAGACTTCTAGGGGCTACTATGCGCGCCAACTTCTTTTGCATCATATGGTTTTGATCATTAGGGTGGGGGGTGGGGAGCAGGGGAAAGGGCGTTGTACAATGCAAAAGAAAAGATTCAAAGTTGAATTTTTGCTAAACCTTTGCTCATGTTTAATCCCGACAAAATTATTTTATCTCCCTTCAATTTTATAGTGGATGTATATTCTATTTTATAATGGGTTTATACACTACAAATATGAACTACATGGTTGTTTTCACCTTAATATGCTCATTTTTTCCCTATATTTATCTGTACTCAAATTAGATTAGGAGTTGGAGCAAGAATATCCATACTAGAAGTTAGTCCATGTATAGAGTGCTCCATTGTTAATATAAAAAGTACACTTCGTTTTTCCTATCTTTTCTTTTTAGGTCAAAATGGAGGTTCTGTTGGGTAGATTCTTCTATGAAGCAAATACTCATTGGTCCCATACGCAACTGGTAGTTGAATTGTTCCAGTTGAGCTTGCTTCATAGTATTTCGTAAATGAATAGCGAGGCTTTTGAGAGCGTTGATACCACTAACACGGAAAATACAATTCAAAAAATTGAGTGGGGATATTGTCGTCTGCCATTTTCTTTCTTCTTATGTTTGGATTGTAGTTCCATGGGATCAACATTATTGCTCCTATTACATTTATAAGTTTTGATCTTAAGTTAAAAGTGTTTTGCTTGAGTTGAATAAATCTGAATGTTCCAAAGTGTCCAAATGGTTTGCATTTTGCAGATGGAACTTGCCAAGTGATTGATACTACAACAAATTCGTTTTTGAGGTTTTTTTTTTAATCTCTTTGTTGTATAAACACAATAAGCTAAAGTTTTTTGAGGATGTACTTGTAATATTGGTGCAACTGCAGAAACAGAGGGAGTTAAAATACTTTGGAATCTTTTTGGCAGACCAAATATCATATAATTACACCCTATTTAATTTAAGACATGTTTATTATGATAGAACTGAACTTTTATATTCACGTTTCTGATTCATAAGTCACCACGTGATTGTTGTGGACTTGTGGTGAATAACTAAAGCAAGCAACTGGTTACCTCTCATTTTGATATGTGTACATTGTAAATTCCAAAACCTCAATCCCACTATGAACAAAAATAAAATCAAAAATCAAAATTATACCTGAAATGCTAAAACAAAAAGTATATAAATCAACTCTGGAACTGTTACCAATTCATAAATTTGGTTTCTTTCCAAAAAATTATAACTCACAATGCTCCGTGTGCAATGGCGTGTGCTTCTACTACTTTGAATGAATACAAATTCCTGTAAGTTCTGTAAATCTCAATTGACCATTTCTATTATTCCTCTATGAACTAAATGCTGATTTCGTCGAGAAAATGGTAATGTGAAATCTATTCAAAATATAGATCAATAAAAATTCCAAAAAGGAATATCAAATGAATAGGCCTAACATTCCCAGAAGTTCAAGAACGCACCTTGGAAGGAAGATTGAGAATATCCTCGAAGGTCCGCTTTTCCATTACAAGCATTTGGGTGATAGATAGACATAACAAAGGCAGCAATTGGATGGCTGGAATGGATACATATAAGCCCACAAAAAAAAAACCCTCAGTTCACCAACACAACTTATACTCACCAAAATCACCCAAAATATTAAAAACCAACTAACAAAACAGACAAATTTTATATATATATATATATATATATATATATATATATATATATATTTGAACACAAAAATGGTTGTTTACCGAAAATGGTCATAAGCATGAAAATGGAATGTTAAGTTTTGCACCTTTCAGGAATATGAATCTTTATCTCGAAGACCTCCTTAGCCTAAACAGTTCCTGAATCCTTCAGTCTCTTTGAATTTCACCAAACACACACATAAATCAAAAGAAAAAATCATACCTACATATGCATATATATATCTATGAATGAATGTGAGTTTTTGTAGATGGGGCCTTACGGGCGTCGATGGAGGTCATAGAAGAGGAGGAGAGATCGGAGGTCGGAGAAAGAAGAGCGAAAAGAGTCGCCGGGACGTGGGTTGGTGAGGAGGAGCTGAGATTTAGTCTCTGCATGTGCCATTTTCGCGCGGCCAATTAAGAAAGAGGGAGAGAGGATAAATCGAAGAGGAAAAAGGAAAACAGTTTGTTGAGAGTGGGATTTGAACCCACGCCCTTTCGGACCAGAACCTTAATCTGGCGCCTTAGACCAACTCGGCCATCTCAACTTATTGCTTATTGTAATTTGATCATAGATTTTCATATTATCAACAAGTTTTGTTCCATGCTTTTGAAAAGGGAAGGGTAAATATGTTTGTGGGAAAAATATATTAAAATAACATTTTCTATTTTTTTGAGCTATCTTAATACTATGTTCCTTAATTATTTATTAAGACTATACTTCCCAACAAATCGAGGATGAATTCAATTTTTACCGATTTTGGGTTTGAACCCAATTGAAATGTCATAAGAAAAAATTGTTAAAAGTATCAAAATTCATTAGTTAAAATGTCATATGGCAAATTGGCTGTCAATTTTGTGTCAAGTGAAAGCCAAGTAAACTTTCAAGCAAGTTTCTTATATATTTCCCAAAACGCATACGCCTCGCCTCGCCTCGCCTGTCGATCCAATACGCCTCCTCCAACACACTCTTTATGGAAAAGAACCCGCCCCTCGGCCGTAAAGAAGACACACAAATCTGGGTCCTTTACTTAGACATGAGCCTAAGAACAAAAATGGAATGTCAGTTTGGAAAGCCTCCATAATGTGATCCACTGGCTTGCTAGTTAACTTTCAAGCCCACTATGTTATGGGCCAATTACGGCCCATGCACCTGAGACTCCTTGAGTAGCTCCACAACCGAATGAGCATTTAACAGCCAGATGGGCTGGCCCGATTGAAAGTCGCACATAGCCCCAAAAAATTAGAAAGACAAATAAAAATGGTTTTTTTTTTGTAGATATATTATTTTAGACTTATTTAAAAGGAAGTGTATGAATAAATATTTTACTCTATTAAGTTTAATTTTAATAAAATATCTTGCGATTAAGTATAAAATTCAAATGACATTTGAATTTTTTTACTTATTTACCCTTTATTAAATTATGCATAATTCTTATTTTTTTCACTCTCTCTCATCCTATTTCTCACGCTGTTATTCTTTTTCTCGTTCTACATTACTTTCTCCCCTATTTTATCTCTATTAATTTATTTTTCATTGATAATTTATTTTCTTTTCAAATATGTAAATATTTGATTTTTTTATCTCTCTCCCCTATTTATATTACCGTTACTCTCTCTCTCTCTATATATATATATATATTAATGTTACAACAACACAATTACACAAATCAGTTATAATTGTCATATAATATATAAAACAGTACTCATGTGTTCTAATAAACCAAATAATTACACTAAATAATTATACAAAATTACGACACTAACTTAATTTATCATTTAGTTATTTACATAAAACCAAAAAGTTGCAACATTTAGTATTACGACATGATTACACCAATTATATACACTAAATTTAGTGTAATGATAAACTCTTTTGTGCAATGATAAATCTAATTTGGTGTAATTACGTGATATTAAATGATGTAACTAATTGGTTTATGTAAACAATTGAACCATAAATTGAGTTGGTGTTATAATTTTGTGTAATATTTGAGTGTAACTATTTAGTTTATTAAAATACATGAATCTGTTTGATGTATTATAGGATAATTATAATTAATTAGTGTAACTGATTGATGAGAGTGAGAAAATAGGGAGGGAAAGTGAGAGAGAGAGAGAGAGAATATGGGAGAGAAAGAGATATGAAAAAATTAAATAAAATCTTTATATATTTGAAAAAAAAAATTATAAAGACAAAGAGAATAAAGGATAGAGAGAATAAATGAAAGAGAGATAAAGAGAAAATAGGGAAGAGAGAGTAATGAAGTAATGAATGACCTTTTAGTATTGTTTTAAAAAAAAATGCATTTAAGGTCAAATAAGTTTCTTTAATATAATTTATTTCAATTAAGTCTCAATTTTTATACCAACTTTCAATTAAATTAGAGAATTTTTGGCTGAATCAATTTGGCAGTTTGCACCACGACCCCATCACGAGCCGTTGGCTAACAAGCTTGATAGGCCCTAATGGGCTCTTTGTTGACCCATACAAAACCAATAATTCTTATTATCTATGAAAAGAATTAAGTATTTATGTCTGTTTTGAAAATTTTGGAGCAAATGCGGGAGTATATGGACCAATGGAGACCCCAATTATAGTAAGGGAAGGATATCAACCAAAAAAAATTAGGGTTTACGTCCCTTTCCCTTTTCCTTTCGCTTTTGTGATGTGAACTAAAGAGTGCCTTAGAAAAGTTTGATACTTAAGCTCTACTTATTTTGTAATCAAGATATTTATTTTTTCTAACTTCGTGAAGAGTAATACATTAATCTTCTCGTTTTTAAAATTAAATTACAACTTATTTGTCAAGGTTTAAATTTAATCATACCTGAAACTTTTTTTAGGTGAAGAAATGGATGGGATTGAGTGGGCCCTATGAGAATATTTAAAAAATAAAATATTTTTTTTTTCGTTTTTGGAAAAGAAAAGGTACTTAAATTCTCAAAAATTTCAAATTAAAGTAGTTAATTTATTTGAAATATTTGGGCGATAGGGTCCAAACCCAAGAACTCTAAGTGGGTCTCTCACATCTAGGTGGGCCCACCAAAATGGAGGTCCCAACGTAAGGAGCAATTACTCTGTCCTAGGAGGCGTGGCGTGACAATCTACTACACAATTTTTTTTTCAAAAAAAAAAAAGGGGCAAAACTTGACTGTTTCACACCCATACGCACAATTGGGAGATTGGCTGTGTACCCCCAAAAAAAAAAAAAAATCTCTTTTCTTATAGGTTCTAAATAAATTGAATATTTAAAACCCCTTATAAATTAAAATCTGATTTAATGCAAAAATTTCTAAAATTAACTCTAATTATCCGTTTGATAGGATAGATAAAACAAGAAATAAGAAAAAAAATAAACGTGATATACTTTTTATCTTTTAATAAAAGAAATCTCTAATCTCTATTTTTGTTTGGTACCATAGATGAAAGTAGAAGGAAATTATTTTTTCATGATTGGTATACATAGAAATGTGGAAGAAAAAAAAAAGAAGAAGATTGACCGTTCTTATTTTACTGTTTTAATTACATATGAAATTAATATTTTCATATTTATTATATAAAATAAATTAGTTGGATACATGTACATACTAAAGGATATACATGTACACACTAAATATATGCGTGTTACAAAAAAAATTACATACTAAATATAATTAATATTTTTTCTATTTTTTTTTCATTTTATTTTTTTTTCTAAATCAAACATAATATTTTATCTATTTATTTTACTTATTGCATTTCCACTTTTTCATCATACTAAACGTATCACGAAACTTCAGAGTTTCCAAGCCGAGAGTGAAATAAAAAAGAAGAAAAAACTTTTAAAAACTTTTTCCCATTACGCTAATTTAAGTAGACAAATTTATACAATATTAAAATCAAATTATTTTGGTTTTGATATTAATCTGAAAAATTTATTATTTTATTAAGATATTAACAATTTATGTCCGGATAGAATTTAATATCAAATTAAGGTCTCACCTCAAATGTTATCACCTCTAATGAGTTAACATTTTCCAACAATTGCATAATTAGTGTTGTGTGGAAATTATTAAACTTCAATTATTAATTCTGATTTATAAGTTTATAATTATTAAATAAAATATACTAAATGTAATACAAATAATTACTTTTTTTTTAAAAAAAATTTTTGTTATACAAAAAGTTTTTTTTCTTATTGGTAGTATTGTAATTGAATCCTACTACCCTTACACATACTCGTACGTATATATACATCCCGGTCTTTCTTTTCAAAAGTTTCAAAATCATTTCTTTTTCAAAAGTCCTCCAACGCAAACAATCATCTCAACCACCTCCATTACAGTCTTCTTCTCAAGCCCTACCAAAAGCTCTCTCTCTCTCTCTCTCTCTCACACACACACACACACACACACACACACACACGCTCTCTGTATTTGTCTTTTGGCCAAGTTCACTTCAATGCTGTACGGCCGGCAGAGATGCTTGTGGTTTAAAAAGATTTCCCAGCTTTTGAATTGACTTCTTCTGTAGAGAAAGAGAATCAGATCAAAACCCTAATTGGAAGGTGTAGTGGAGAGAGGGATTAAACAGAGATGAATGCAGTGGGAAGACAAATGCAGAGATCTAGCTCCACCAGCCACCACCAGCGTCAGTACTCTGATAACTTCATTGACACAAACTTCAACAACAAATGGCTTCAATCAGCTGGCCTCCATCGCCTCCAATCCTCTAACCCTACAGTCCCTCCTCTTCAGGTTCATTATAATCAAACCATCATCAATCAACTTGTCCTGTTCACATTTTATAATATATATGTGTGTGCGCGTGTATAAAATTTATATGTATCCACTGATTATATGCAAGTATGTGTAGGACGCCAATACGCAGTATTGGTTCTCACCGATCGAGGTTATTACAAGGGTGTTATTCGCATTCGAACCCCTAGCTCGATATGGGTTTCGAGTAATTTACCACAGAAATATATATTCTTTTATGTGTTTGTGTTTGTGGATGTTGTAATTGCGTTTAGATCGGATTGATTACAGGACTTTGGGTTTTATGCAAATAATGGAGGAGGACAGGGTTCAAGATTCAGAAGGAATGCGCAGAGGAGTGACAATGGAGGAGGAAATGAGGATCCTCCAACTCCATCCGCATGTTCGCGGTCTTCTAGCATGAGGAAGAATGGGAGTGGGGAGCAAGTGTCCCCGGGTGAGCTCAGTCCCGGGTTACTTGATCTGCATTCCTTTGATACAGAGCTTTTCCCAGAGGTTTGTCTCCATTGTACATTCGAAACTCTAACTGATATGTCCAATTCATCCTTTTTCGTATTGCATTATTTCTTTCTAATGAACTTTAATCTATGTTGTGTAATGTCTTAGGGCTTCCACTGAATCTGAACAATGCTACTGTCCATATTAGTTACATGAATGATTATTCACATACATAATGTTCACTATTTGACATTTTAAGCAAAACAAGCCGAGTTAGTGGACCAAAGGACTTGTTTCATTCGTGTATTTGGACCAAATGTTGCTAAAATTGGGTGTCATTCGAGATGGATCTCTATAAGTGCCTATTTTGTTGAGTGCAACTTTGTTGTTTGGAACTTTTGCTCCAAAAAGCAAGAGAGATACTTCGAAAATAGCAAATACTCTGCAAGTTATTGTACTTAATACATTAGTCCTTGTTTTGATTAATCACTTACCTTTGTGTATCACATAAAATGTGAATAGAACTCCTTATCCACAAATATGGGATAACAAATAGCTTATTAGTCAAAGATACTTAGAAATTGGAAAACAATCAGCAAGTTATTGTACTTAATATGATACTTCTTATTTTGCCTTTTGCTTTTCTGTCCCTATCATATGAATGTGAATAGAACCCTTTAACTAAAAATATAGGTGAGTGAATAACTTATTCGGCAGCAAATCAGCCTTCAATTCCATTCTCGGAAACTTGCAACTCTCATTTATATCCATAGATTTGACATCATTTAGCGCGAGGGCCGTATTAAGTTCGATCCTGGTGGTCTTCTTATCCTATATTGTTGTATTAATGAAATTGAATGTATTATTTGGAGTGTCTAGATTCCTACCCAATACAATGGATTTTCACTTGGCCGTGTTCGTGGTAAGAGTTTCGATGATTCTGAGCCATATGTCTCAAGCAACAAAGTCATAAGTGGTGCCGGTGGTTTGCTTGATAATAATCTTCTGAAAAGCTTTTCTGCTGATAAAGAGAAGAACAATACTGCTGCTAAGATCAAAGTTGTGGTATGCCCTTTTGCTGATGTACTTCTCTTATTATTTACTGCCTCGCTTAAGCAGTGGCCCTTTGGATTTCCAAAATGAATTGTAGTGCCAAAAAGTTACCAGTGTATTCCAATCTTCACTATCCCCCCAACACCCACACACACAACAAAAATGGCGATCTTGTAGGCTAAATAATATTCTGCTGCTTCACTATTGCGATAGCTTTCTTTGTTCTCTCAACTTGTGATTGTAATGATGGTGTAACATTTTTGAATGAAGGTGCGCAAGAGGCCACTTAATAGAAAGGAAATAGCTAAAAAAGAAGACGACATCGTTTCCATTGCTCCTGATACTAATTCGCTCACTGTTCATGAAACAAAACTCAAGGTGAGCTCCTGGTGGGTTTGTAATTGTGAAAGTTATGTTAAAAATGTCAATACTTTGTTGGAATATTTTTCTTGTGTTTTGCTTGTCTGGCCTTATATGAAGGGCAGGGAGCAAATGAAAACGTTGCCGTTGTTATTTAATTGGTTTTAATTTCATTTATATAGTCATCACCTTCACTATCATCATCGTAATCAACTACGACAACAGCACTGTGTTGGAGTTCAAAACCTTGCAGTTGCCTTTGAAATTTATTGGTGTTTCTGTTCCGTCATCTAAGATAATAATTTCATTTTTTTCTGTAGGCTCTTTAAGTCCTTTGAATTTGTTTCAAATTCTACTGGCATAGCTGAGCAAGCTTATTTTTATTGGAAATTTTTTCATCTAGCTAGACGAATGAAATGTTTTGACATTGATGTCTGCATTTGATGGAATTAGATGTTAAACGACAAAGCAATGAGGTTGAACTAAGAAGGATTTTGCATTGATGAATTTTGTTCGAAGGAATATATAAGAAGGATTGAAAGAGCTCGACTCGTCTTGAAGCTGATATTAATGAGGGAGAAGTCTTACATACCGTAGGAGTGATAGATTACTATGTTATTCTTGTATATGGGCATGTTTTTACAATTCATGGTGATGACTTGGTGACCATCTCAACTTGCCCCCACTCAACCTTTCCAGATGGTTATTTCCTACTTTTGTTCATTGCTTAAATCTTTACTTCTTATTTGGTATAAATGTATATGAGCAAGGTGGCATGCAATTTCTTTTTACTCAGCCTAATTTTCCATCTTTTGCAGGTTGACCTAACTGAATATGTTGAGAAACATGAATTTTGTTTTGATGCTGTAATGAATGAGGATGTCTCAAATGATGAAGTGAGTATGCAACAGGACTTGGTACTATTTTAAGAGATCTTTCCGTCGATTACAATATTGTACTTTTTATTTTGTTGCTGTAGGTGTACTCAGAAACTGTGGAGCCCATAGTTCCGATAATTTTTCAAAGAACAAGAGCAACCTGTTTTGCATATGGGCAAACAGGCAAGTGGTTATTTTTCCCTCCCTCCCCCTGTCTGTCTGGGTGTACATGCGTGCATTTTCAATAATCTAGAATTCTAGGTGGCACTAGGCTCAAGGTGTAATATGTGGGTTTCTCTATCCTAAACACTAAAAAGTTGATTCAGAGTTGTTATGCTTTATGCTTGACTGGACACTAGGCTCTGATTTATAAGGGTTTTACTGTCAAAATGTTCTTTTTTTGGTTCAATGGTTACGGGTGTCTGGACTAACTTACACGCACCTCAATGTTTTAGATCATCTATGTTGGGATTAGAGTATTCATGAGGTTAAATCCCTCATGGCCCGGCTTTAATGGGTTTTCAAGATTCGAAGTCAAGACATCTGAGTTTACAGCTCCTGCTTATTACCACTTGAGCTACCCCTTGGGGTTACTCTGTCAAAATCTTCATATGTTCTACATGTATCAAACAAGCTTTTGATTTGTGTCAAGGATAGTGGTGGCTTTTCCTTTTCAGTGGAGTTATATGAGCCCAAAAACTACTCAATAAGAAATTAGAATATACTGAACCTAATTATTGGTGACATTTTTTCTGAACCATTAGATGGATGACTTTTGCACATTTGTCAGGTCTAATTGGTTTTGTCCCGTTTTCCATTTATAGAGTTACTGATGCCCTCCCATGTTGACTGTTTGATTCCTAACGATTCATGGATTATTTGCCATTCTAACCATTAGTTTTTGTCAACTATGACCAAAGCTTAATATAGTCTACCATGAAAGAGTATAACATTATGCACCTTGCACTAAATCCAGACCCTATATCTTTTCAACAGTTCAACTATTTGCCTGCAGCCTTGTGCTCTCATATATATGAATATGACCACAAGTGTAAAACATGACCTGTTAGTACTTGGCCAAATGGGCATGCATGCCCATCCAAACAGTCAGTGAGATTTCCACATAAGTTTGTCTTTTTGTTTCTTTTTTTTTTTTTTCATTATTTTTGGAATGTTTTGTGCCAGCCATTTGAGCAAAAAACATAGTCTGTATTTGGATATATTTTAAGTGATAAGCATTTCTCTATCTTTATTTTGTGCAGATCTCTCTGGTTTAATTTTCTTTTTGAATTTTTCCTTGGAATATGTTTTCCATGCCTTATTACATTCCAAACTGTTTTGTTAATTAACTTAGATTGATCTTGGGTGTTTCTTTAGGGAGTGGAAAGACTTATACCATGCAACCACTGCCCCTAAAAGCATCCCGGGATATTTTTAGATTAATGCACCACAGCTATTGCAACCAAGGTTTTCAATTGTTTGTCAGTTTCTTTGAGATATATGGAGGGAAAGTTTTTGATCTCCTTAATGATCGGAAGTGAGTTTCTCAACTTTTAACTTCCCTTTGAATAGCCAAGCATTTAAAAAAGTTCAAACTCTAAAAAATAAGACTGCTACTTTTGTAGAAAGCTTTTTATGAGGGAGGATGGGAAACAGCAGGTCTGCATCGTAGGCTTGCAAGAATATAGGGTCTCCACTGTGGAGACAGTCAAGGAGTTGATTGAGAGAGGAAATGCCACAAGGAGTACTGGCACAACTGGGGCAAATGAGGAATCCTCCAGATCACATGCTATACTTCAGCTTGCCATCAAGAGATTGGTTGATGGCAATGACTCAAAGCCTGCTCGAATCATTGGCAAGCTTTCTTTTATAGATCTCGCTGGAAGTGAACGTGGTGCTGATACAACTGATAATGATAAACAGACAAGGTAGGGCTATTAAGGATCTCATCTGGTTTTATTTTAACATATTTCAAAATTTTATCCTTTCTTATGTGCGCTAAACACTGTGTAAGACGGTTTTAGGAGCTGAAAAAAAAAACTGAGGTTTTAGGAGCCATGGGTTACTCCCAGGAGATCTCTCTGGACATTTAATTGTGTTCTGTATCTGTTTTTGGTGTCTGTAACTATGACGTTTGAAGGAGTAAGTTTGTTTGCATTTTATTTTTGTTGCAGAATGGAAGGTGCTGAAATTAATAAAAGCTTACTTGCTTTGAAGGAATGCATTAGAGCTCTGGACAATGACCAGGGTCATATTCCATTCAGAGGGAGTAAGCTAACTGAAGTTCTTAGAGATTCATTTGTTGGTGACTCACGCACAGTTATGATATCATGCATTTCACCGAACTCAGGATCGTGTGAACATACTCTCAACACACTAAGATATGCTGATAGGTAATGTGGTCATAAATAAGCTTTGTTTTAGCGAGAGGATATTTTTTCCCCTTTTTTTTTTTTGTGCTTGAATAGTTCTGATTGGATTTTTTAACATTTCAGAGTGAAGAGTCTATCTAAGGGGAACAGCTCTAAGAAAGATCCATTTACTTCATCATTAAACCTTAGAAGCTCAAGTGCAGTGGCATTATCTTCAGCTTTACCAACTCTACTGGGTTTTGAGGATAAAATGGTGGATGCTCCCCATGAAATTAACAGATTTGGATGGTCTAAACAAATCGAACGGGAGTCCTCTCCATCTTCTAACATTGAGTGTGTTCCTAGTGGAAGAGCACAAAGCAATTTGGCCTCAACTGCCTATACAGATAACAAGGGTCAGATAAATGGTCAAGTTGGCATCACTGTTGATGATTTTGAAGGCTCTAAGGAGATCCTTGAACTAGACAAATCATCTTGGAAGATGAATAAGAAGGTAGAGAACTACCAAGCAACTGCCTCAGAAAATAGGTTGAGGAAAACTGGGATTCAAACAAAACTTAGGAATATGCCAGACTTTGAGGCCGACAACCCAGATTCTGATGATGATCTGAATGCCCTGTGGAAGGTAAAAACATTCAAATTTCTTGTCTGACTTCTCATTCATAAACTGGTCAATCACCAATTACAAACCCACTTTGTTTCATAATAGGAAGAGGAAGATCTTGTAAATGCTCATCGAAGCCATGTGGAGGAGACGATGGATATTGTTAGGGAGGTTAGTAGTCGCATTTGGATCATCCAATTTTTCTTATCAGATTATGTTTTTTCATCTCAACTTATTCGTATTTGCAGGAGATGACGCTGTTGGTTGAAGTTGATCAACCAGGCAACCAGCTGGATGATTACGTTTCTAGATTAAATGCCATTCTATCACAGAAAGCTGCAGGCATTGTGCAACTGCAAACACGCTTGGCTGACTTTCAGAGGCGTCTGAAGGAATGTAATATTTTTGTATCTTCCTCTGCCCATTCTTAACTCACAGGAGTTCTGGAGTAGCTAATGATTGTGGCAATTGGAATATATCCGGCAGTTATGTGATGGATTTCTTCTATCTTGTGTGAGTATTTGGATAGTAGGATCTTTAGCAGTTACAGGGTGTGAGGTCTTTGGGATGTGGATTTTTGAAGTTTCTTTCCTTCCTTCTGCGGCATTGAAGTAATTCCATTTGCAATGACATGCTTTTTGTAGCTGGTGAGTCACACAAAATATGCTATTCATTGGCATTCCTCGTGTAAAGCTCTGAGGCAATATGCTGTATAAGTACAAAAATACCCTTGTCGATACTCATTATGGTATGTGCTTCGATTGAATCATGTTTGGAGTTGCTTGTTTAAAGTCTTAGCGAGCCCGAATCTTGAAAAGTTGCATTGCTTTCTATAAGATACTGCACAACATGAAGACAATGATGACCACGAGGTAACAATACATGTCTATAGTTTTTGATCATAATTGCAGCAAGGTTGAAGCAGCTCAATCCCAAGTACAAAACTGAAGACAACATTAACCAAGCAGAAATATTGGCAGCTGCACAAAGGAAAAGTCACAACAATTACTGCAAGAGAAGCAGTATGCTGATCTTGTTCTGCATAAAAGACTAAATATGAAAGTCAATGGGTAAATAGAGAATGGATTTGTCTTTGATGTGTATTGGAGGAAATGATTTCAGACTCTGGCAGTTGATTAATGTATATGTACCTGGTTTTATATTAGATGGGCTGTGTGGTTTGATTGCTCAAAGAGATGTTTGGGCTATTCATTCAATAGTCAGATGAAGACTAGAAAAATTTACAGTATTGAAAAGTAATAAGAAAAGAGTTACGATTTGATAAGATCTCAGTACGATTTAATAGGTCTAAAGGTTTTTTTTCCCTAATGAGTTTAAAGCTACTAAGCACCAAAAAAATTTGGGGTGGTTATTAAAAAACTTGTGATTGATTTTAAAATGTTGGGATCGTCGATTTTCAGTTCTTTTATGACAAATCCTAAATTTACTATATTAAGTCACAATTTGCGTATTTGGATATTAATTTCACTATAATACCGAAAATTGCTTTTGCTAAGTGAGGTTTTTGCCAGGCCAACTGTTTATTCTCTCTTCTCTCTCTCTCTCTCTCTCTCTTACTTGCATTGAATCTATTCAATTGTAACAGATTCAGATCAAATTCAGAATTGAATTATATCAATTCTCTCAACACAAGATTACCTATCTTGAATCCTAAAATACATAGTAGATGATTTGATACAAAAATAAGCTGAAAAAAAATCTAAAACTGGAACGGATTCTAATCTGATCATACATAACAAAAACAATAATATATACACTTAAACTTTGGAAAGTTAAAGGCGAAGGCAAGCAGAGTTGGGCAGTTGACAACATATGACAGAACAGTGAACATGAAAGAAAACTCTGGAGTCTGCTAACATTGAATTTTGGAATGCTATAGCCTGGCATTTGTAGATTCTTCTGACTTAAAAGTCACTTATCTTTTGAAAATTCCACTTACTATGTTAAGACACAATTGTTTTTTTCCATTTTTTAATGAGACTGATAAGACACTACAATCTTGTGCTTCAACGTGCAAATCTTTCTACCATATATCTCTTTCACTCCCCTTTACCCTGTTTCTTTCCAAAACGGAAATCTTGTGAAACCCTTCCTGTCCTTTCAATAGGTTTAGGTCATGACTTAATTGGCATGTCATACTACGCAATAAATCGGTCAACAAAAATCCGATTAGATATCTTTTTTGTCTGAACTTGACTTATACGCTATTGAGAAGAATTATATGAGTCGAATATATATTATATAATTTAAACACGACTTATACATGCATTTAACACAACCTGATAGTCATCCCTTACTCCATAACTTTATGGGCTGTTCTAGTATGGAATGGAATAGCTTGTTGCTTGTGACTAAATGGGAGTGTCTTGATTAGCTTCAATCAAAGCAAAAACTGGTGTTTGAAAGTCGTTGCTAATGGTAATTAAAAAAATATTTGTATTGTTCTAATAGAAGGAAGAAGAGGGCCGTGATTAGTCAAAAGTGGGTATTCCTAAGCCATCATCATTATTATAATAAATCAATCACATGGGGTCGGCAATTAATGAATGAATTAATTGAACTCATTGGTGGATTATTATTTAACAATATTTTTGGCTTATAATACTTGGATAATACTTGGACCTTAAGCAAACACATCCCTCTAATTACTTGATAAAGCAATGGGAGACAAGGAAGGATCTTGTTCTTATGTAAGGCCATAGGTAAGATTACACAAAACATTAAATGCTGTGCTAGAACTAGAAGTTGCTTATTTTAACAACAATAGTACCCAATAGCATCATCTTTCATTTCTCATTTAGGTTGGTTTTCCACTTAAGATGTTATTTTAGAAGTAAAATTTGTCCTGTGTATAGGGTCACGCTTGGATATTTAAAGTTTATTGGGTTTTTTTGGCTTGTCTAAATTTGGCTAATTTAATCTAGTTGGTTGGGTGGACGGGAAAAAAAAGACTCATAAATTTAATTTGGTGGTAGCTACGGCTAGTTGTCGTTTTTGCTGTCGGATCTTGGTGGTGCATAGATGGGAATGAGAGTGAGAGACAAAAGACAGAAGGGTTGTCTAATTCCAAGATTAATGATAGTGCATTTGTGTGTGCGCGCATGTTTGATGTATATACTCAACTTGAATTCTTGAGTTGGTGACACGACTGATCTTGTTTAATAAAATTCAAATTTAGATAAAAAAAAAAAACACATAATTTTAGTTGTGTGACTGTTTTTAAATTGAAAATTATTATTTGGATTTTAATTTTTTTTTTGTTTGAACAGGGATGTACGATTCAAATAAGAACATTTCATCTCAAAGCTAATGTTACCCTATAATATCCCACCTAAGTAGGTCGGAAAATATTTTCAAGTTTATAATTTAGTGACCTAGCCGTGAAGGAACAAGTTCATGACGAAAGTCGGTAGGTCTAACCACACACTGAATTGAGGAAATAGGTTTTTTTTTGGTTTATTTATATTTTAGTTTAATAGTCAGAGGTATTCGCGTTAATTTTCGGATATTTTAATTAATCATCTCTCCAGTTCGATCAAAGACAGACTATGCACGCAAAAATTAAAATAGTCAAGAGTGATAAATCCCATAGTAGTATTATTAGATTTTGATTTGGGCGTCACATTTTTAAGATTCGAGTATGCTAATAGTTCAAAATGACACGCATATAATTGTTTCTAAATAACGTAACGACGAGTCTTGTATACTAAATTATATAATGTTACATTATAATTGTCGAGGCACGACAAGAAGAAATTAAGGGAATCAGACACTCCTAACTGTTGAACAAAAAAAAAATTAAAAAAAGAAAAGAAAAGAAAAAGTATATTATTCACTAGAGAATAAAAGATTCCTTCACATTATACAACTAACCAACAACTAATTTGGATACATCCAAGTTGGAAAAATAAAATAAAACTTGAATCCAATAAAAGATTGTCAATGTGAAATTCAACGGATGACAGCAATGACACCATCAAATCATATGAATTAGCTCATTGGCCGGTTCCTAAACAAATAGTTCCATGATAAAGACGTGTATCTTGTAATGGATACCAAGCTATCATACTCTATATTTATTTAATCAAAATAATATGTCAACCAGTGATTACCATCCAATGCATCATAGTAGAATAATTTATAGGTGTGAACTTCAGTTATTACCAAGTTTAAAAAAGATCAAATGTGCAAAATCTCAATTAAATAAAAGAATAAATTCTTTTGGGTCCGTTTACTGTATCAACATTTTTTTTTTCTTAAATCAATAAGGGCTATTGATCCATCACAAGTACTTTAAAGTCGTTGATAAGATATCCTACTTTCTATGAGTTACCCACAAAGAGTGGTCGATGAGATATTTTATTTTTTACCAGTTACCCACAAAGAGATCGTGTCGAGCTTTTTTTCCTCCGTTTAGTTTTTGCCAACACCAATTATTGTGCACCACCAATGTGTATACTACTATAAATAGACATTTAAAAAGTCATTTTAAGTGGGGTCCATTCTTTTTTTGTTTTTTTTTGGGGGTGGGGGGGTGGGGGGTGGGTTTACACCACTAAACTATATACTGTATGCATATGGGCATTAAAAAAATATAGTAAGTGGTGAAGTATCAAAACCCATAAAGTTCCACTAACTAATATAACCTTTTAGCAAGCAGACAAAAAAAGATTTGGACTACACTTTTGTGTTTATGCTCTGTGTGATACGATGAAAAAATAGAAAGATGAAAAGTTGGAGGAATAAATAAAATATCATGTTTCGTAAAGAAGTAAAATAGGAAGGATGAAAAAATGGATGAATTAATTTTTCTTCCAACTCACCCAAATTAATTCCTCTAAAATCAGAGGAAAAGTGAATAGAAAATTAATTATCTGTGTTGAGATCTATCTTACTTGTCTATATATCTTTTTATATATACATATATTATATACATATTAATTTCATGTAGAAATTTAATAATAATAAAAAAATTAAATTAAAAAATTATTTTTTCCATTTTAACCAGAAGTAAAATTTTTTGACTCAACACGATTCGAATTCGATACGAATTTTATGACACGAATTTGATTAACTCGAACACGATTATAAACAGGTTAACTCGTAACTCGACACGATACAATTAGTTAAATGAGTTGAGTTAGGTGTGATTAATGTTCGACATAAACCCATCATGAGTCAACAAAAATCTGATACGACACTATTCGATTATCCTCCCTAATCTTAACCACCAGCACAAAAAAAAGGTAGTTATTTTTATTTTTCATTCATCTAACCAAACACAAAAGAAGAAAAATATATCATTCTTACTTTCTTTCCTTAAAAGATAAAAAATGTATTCTTTTTATTTTCTATCATTCCTATTAAACGGAACATTAGTGTTTCCAGACAAACACGACACTAATAAAACCAATTAAAAAGGGCATAAATGAACACGTGTCAGACCATGATACGCCAAATCTCACAGCAACGCCACAACAGGAGACCCTAAAGCAAATCGAATTCATAGCGATCGAATTCATAATCGTAATCATTAAACCAAGAGTTTTGTCCAACACTCCTGTTTAAGCGCGTGTTGGTGTGTACACCTATGCACCTTCCCTCATTTTAACTATTTTTCGCTTTATATTTAGGGCTAATCGTAGTTTATACGCTGCACTCTGAAAGATGCTCAAAATTTTAATTTATACTCTAAAATATAAGAATTTTCAACTTGTTCCTTGAATGTGTCAAATACGACGTAATATACATTAGTTTTAAACGTCCGTTTGATTTACCGTCTAAAAACCCAGCATAGGATTTGTACGTGATTCTTGTATAGATTAAATTATAAAAATACATTGGTATGAATCCATAATGTGTGAAAATTGGGTGAATAACAATGGTCTGAATGCACATCTACTTCATCAATTGTAGGAATATTGCTAATTTTTTAATGAAATGTGAAGTTAAACCGCATAATTATTGCAAGCCCTAAACCTCCTCACAGGGTTTAGATCTATCCATGAGGTCTTCATTGCTGCCCTTTGACCATAGTAGCAAATTCTTTCCATTTTCAACTCTGTTTGCTATCTTTTTCTTCCAGTTTTTCCAT